CGCAATATTGAAATTCTTCACTTTTACTTCCTTTCCAGGATCCTTGAGCAAGAAGAGCACCTTCGGGGAGGAGATGATGATGTCCTCGGGCATGGATATATGGAGGACTCCACTGATGTGTACAGCTCCCAGTTTGAAACCATTTTGGACAACACTTCTCTATACTACAGTGCAGAGTCATTGGAGACGCTGTACTCGGAGCCTGATAGCTACTTTAGCTTTGAAATGCCCCTTACTCCAATGATACAGCAGCGCATTAAAGAAGGCGGTCAGTTCCTGGAGAGGACCTCTGCGGGAGGACATCAGGATGTCCTGAGTGTCTCAGCAGATGGCAATGGTGGGATTGTGATGGGCTATTCAAATGGGCTGAATGATTCCAGCAGCTCCATCTACATGAAAGGCCCTCAAGAGACTGCTTTCTGGGGAAGGTACTAGGCTACTCTCCTTAATTTCATGGTGGTATTTCTATAGTATTCTGTCCTTATGAAATCTACGTGTGGAATACATTTTAAGTGAATTTTCCTAGTTTCTGTGGATGTAGGCAGATGATTTGAGTAAATGGTAATTTGGGATTTAAGAGAAGGCAAAGTATACCTTAGTGGTTTGCCAAATTGGTGAGCTGTGGACATTTCCTGTGTTAACTGTATAAGAGTAGCTACTGGACATAGTGATGATACAGCTCTGGAGACAGTGGCTAGTGCCCATCAACAGAGCTTTAGTCTGACGTTGGCAGGTTGTATGATTAGCCCAGAGAGTCCTTGATTGTAAATGGAGGTGTTGGTTGGGAAGTTTCCAGTGTCTTCTACCCCTATCACCTAGGTACTCTTCTGCCTGGCTGTCTTCTTGTTTCTGAGATTTCAAGGAAGGATCTGATATGGGTGCTTGGTGGATAGGATGGAAGCTGACAAGACTTGACAAGGCTATAAGTATTTATTTTCTCTATTTTAACATTTAGGTCCATCTTAGAGCTAACATGGCAAATTGTGTATGGTACACATTCCACAGCTGTCATTTGGGGTGCCTTGTCTACGTATGGATTATCCAGCCGTCTGTCTCTTCTTGCTTGTCATCTTAGTTCATCTGCCTGCCATTTTGCAACTTTATCAGTGGGTAGGGAATGCTAAATCATCTGTTTTATGAATTTAGTTTTGGTATTTTTTCTTCCCTGTGTGTCTGTGTCTGGAGGTGATGGTGGAGGGAAAGTTAAATGAGGGTAAAGTATTTTAAAGCTGCATAAAAATGTCAGTGCTTTACTTTTTAGAAGTCTGTTGATATTATAGGTTTCTAGTAAACATCTCTTTTTCAACAGTCTGTCCTGTGCTGACATTTTCTGTGACTACAATAGGTTTATAGTTCTGGGGAGGAGAAGATTCAAAACTGGCACATTTTAACCTTGTGCTGTGTTTGCATGTGAAATGGCTGTGAGTAGTGGTTGCCACAGTGAGAGAAGGTCTCAAAACACAAGAGCTTGGTCTGATATAGATAAGCTACTTATTTTCTCTAACATCTGATTTAATTTTTTGAAAAGTAGGGATAATGATGTCTTGTGTGCTTAAAGCATCCAGCACAGGAACTGGCTGCTAAGTCCGTATTTAGGCACTATGTGTCTCCAAGAAGAGGGTGCCCCTGAGAGGATGGTATCCCCAGGGATGTGTCCCTGAGGAAGGGCCGTTCTTGAGAGTGAGCATCCCTGAAGTGGGAGTGTGCCCGTGAGCTGGGTGTTCTCAAGGCATCTCTGCTTGGGTTGTCTCTCAGAGGGAGTATCTCTCCATAGAGAGCGCAGCTGTAGTCTTTTTGCTTTATCATCATCCCTGGTGACTGAATTGTGATAAAATACCGTAGAATAGGTATGAAGACGATCCCGTTGTACCTCCAACCTAACTTTCTGAGGCAAGTACCAGTTGTTTATATTACAGACCAAAACCAGGTCAGGAGTTAGGTGATTTGGGCTGGGAAGCTATGCCACAGGGAAGGTGTGTCAGTGAAGGTAGAGACAAGTATGTGTGGCCAGCACAGGAAGGGCTGGATGAAAGGTTCATTCTTATGTGGCTTCCGCTTCTAGACTAGGAGGTAGATGTCATTCGGCAGCATGGACTCCAGCCGTTAGTATGGACAGAGTTTAATTAAAATGTTTTAGCTGCAGATTAGACAGTGGTATCTGTCAGGTTGTCTTTAGATCAAATTTCACCTGTGTCTCATGCGTGGTGAAACTGTGAGACCTTGCTTGAAGGCAAAGGACCAAATCCTGGTAAGGACCAGATGCATCTCAGAGGAGCAGGCTGAGCTTCTCTTCCAGATCTTCCTCCTCCAGGACTCCTAAGACAGTCATTCCCCACTTACACACACACTGCCAGTAGCTAGGACAGACCATGGGACACATCATCTAGTGTTCTTTGACTTCACCCAAGGGGGTTGTAGGTGGACAGAGTTTCATTTTGTCTTAGGTGTCTACTCAGGGTTAATAAACGGAAGCACGTGTACTGATCCTAGGAATTTTGCTTTGGAGAAGTTGTAATTTTAGAGACTTATGGGTTGAAAAAATGTAATATTTTATAACTTGAAGGGGACCTTAGATAATTTTACTTTTATAACAACAAAAAAGTTAGTGTCCTAGTTTGGTTGGGAGAATTACCCAAAGCCATGTGACTTCCTAATGGCAGATCCCGTGCCCTGAGTCCGAGCTGCCCAGCTCCTAGACAAGTCCTTTCACTGTTTAATGCTGCCTGGTCTGTTATAGATCAGCATTCTGTTTTGTTTTCCTTCTTTCACACTGTGCATCTATAGAGACAGACGTATGAATTGGTCTGTTTCCAAGGACTTAGTTCTAAATGTTGAATTGGTTGTTACTCTTTTTGTTGGTGATGGTCATGTTGTTGTTACTGGTGGGTGTGTGTGTTATTACAAAATATTATTATTTAAGGGGAAATTTACCAAATCGTTAATAAACAGGCTTGTATAAAATTTTAAAGCAATCAGTGAGCAAGCAGCCTTTTAAAATTTCTTCTGCATTAGAATATCTCTGCAGCAGTATGGAAGTGGACCAGGGTTATTGAGCCTGATTGATGGTTGTGGAAGGGTCACCGTAATTGACTCCTCTCAGCAAAACCCTGACTGAGTGCCAAGGTTAGAATTCAAGGGAAAGAATCTTTTCCAACTTTATTAATAAATATATTTACAAAAGAAGACAAGAATATGGATTAAACTGCACATAGGCCCAGCATTCCACTGTGCATTGGCCCAGCATTCCTTCTCTGTTGACAGGCTTTTCCTGTTTCTTTGATAG